GTAAAGACGTAGCTAAATCCGAAACAAAGTTGAGGACCTCGGGAAGTCTTTATCGTTCAGGAGGGCAGAATTTTCACCGCTTTACAGAACCTCTTGGTGGGCATCTTGAGATGACGGAAAATCTATTGTTCCGGTCGAGGCTTTGTATGTTGGATACGCTTGAAATGTACTGGCTACGACCGATAACTTTCCTATTATTAGACTTAAAAGAACGGAAAGGTTATTGTAGTGAAAGTTTGTTTTGTTTTGAGTTGAAGAATGATTGACGTTATCTTGATAAAAACAAGTATCGTATAAATAGTCCATTAAGTTAAATACTGCATCCAATTCCATTATTCTTTTCCATATTTTATCAGTGTCGTCATTTGCTTGCTTTCCGCCTCACACTCATTTACATCTCGTCAAAGAATTTGTTCTCTACAACCAATAAATATACACACAACAGGACACACCTGGGCGTTCTTCGAATGTGAGGAAAAGATGAGCGGGCTTAGGACGAGCATCTGGGCCCCCGGCAGCTATCGCTCCCCGAGTTACAATGGCTCCAGCTATAAGAATCCCGCGCGAGAGAATGCGCCAGTCTCTACTACCCACTCGCATACCTCAAGAGATATGAGTAAGAACCGGGCAATCGAAACGACCCGCGAAATAATTCTGGATGGTAAATTGGCAAATAATGAGCCACGGAAGAGTTCTGGTGGGCTGGGCGCCAGTCAATGGGCACCGCGCGATTACCCTGGAAGATCGAAAACAGCAAATCGTCAAGAGGTTTGGACAATGGTATGTTTACACACTTGCTTGGAGAGACATGCTATGTTTACCTTCTAACTCTTCTCAGGTCACACCGGCCTCGCAACATAAACCGATGGCTCATGCGTATAATGGCTCGAGTCCTGCATACACCTCTCCAGACCTCGGTCTTCCTTACGAAGTACAACATTACATTCTCGGTATGATGCAGCGGATCATGGAGGAGGGGTGTTATACCTTTGCATCGCGATGGATTCCCGACGTACTACAGAGGAACAATTGGACGTGCTCGGAAGCGGTTGAACTGTCTACATGGAGAACAGTCCTTCCAGAGAATGTCCCATCAGAAGCCATTACCTCGCACGGCAAATCTCTTCACCAATGCCTGGCTAATGCTGTCCGAATACGAAACTCTGCTACTCATCGGCATATCTTTTCGAGTCAGGAACTACGTGGTTTGGCACAACAAGCCGAAGACCTCATGAGCCTACTTTCTGACCACTCGAGGCAATTAAAGTTTCATAAGCTGTGGACAGAATTATACGATTGGGAAAAGCTCAGTGTAACAGACATGCAAGCCGCCAGATACAAGATGGAAACTGCACTTCAACAGATTGGGGAACGTCCTATGGAGGATGATATGGATTGGACACCTAATGTTATCTCATTGGAAAAAGTTCCCGCGGTAGAGATAGGGCCAGAAGAGGTCGAGAATCACGAAGTTCATGATGCAATGGAGATCGATTAAAGAATACACTACAGAGGAACTATGGGATGGCGAATTGGCGTTGGTTTAATCGTACGTTGTATAAATTGGGAAGATCATAGCTTCAGGAGTACTTGTGGAGGTATAGCGGGTCGGTAGGATTTCAAATACCCCTTTTGTCGCCTTTTGGCACATCTTAGACGCATTGTTTGAGGTACTTACGGGCATAGACTTGTTCTAAATCGTTTTCTAGGCAGAAACATGAAAATGAGATCAAATTGTTCCACACTTTAAATGAGCCATCCTTTGCTTTATGATATGTATGTTAAGACCCTTCAAAACTTTGAATCACTACGAGTTATATTCAAAAAGATAGATTATCAAGATGGCCAGACACCAGCCTGATTTACAGGTTTACCAATTCTGAGCTACAGATTGTATTCGAACAATGACCTAACTCCAATTCCAACACATCACTGTCTCTCCGGAGCGTACAAGCACTCATGCCTCTCTCTACCATGAACTCCACCTTCTCTCCCAGTCTCCGAACTCGCGTAAAGCCTCTAGCTCGCACCTACAAACCTCACAAACCACCATCTCGCATCTCTCGCAGACTTCCCATCGTCTCGTGCTCTCTAAAGCAGGGTCTCCAATATTCCGAACTGAAATCCAACAATGAAGATTATCAAATCACCAAACCAATTAGAACATTCAAGTCATTTGAAATGTTGAATTGTTTTCAAATTTCCAATTGCTTGTAGACTTTCAAGACCTTATGTTGTTGGACTACAGTCCGGACCATTGGATACCCTGCCCCGAAGGAAGTTTGCAAACAATAACGTCCGCAAATATACCCTCTTTCCTGGGCTCCAAGTAGCGTGCTTAGATGATCGCCTAGCGCACCATACCATGGTCTCTCTCCCATCTCTCCCATTCCTGCTCAGCTTTTCTTACTGCTAGTAGTGCGGCTTCTGCGGCGAAGTTTGCTGCTTCTCGAGCAGCTAAATACTGGTCTCGAAGCGCATCCTGATTTTTGCGTGCTCTTGCCGCCTTGATCGCATCGTATGCGTCTTGCAGTTGCGGGAAGCGCTCTTTCGTGTCTCAGCTTGGGGTTTGTCTGGTGAAAAGAGCTAGTTATTTCCAGGCCTTAGATACTGTATATCTGATTTGGGGGCACTGGGAGAGATTGAAAGTATGAAGTAGGAGTCAATAAATTGGGGAACGGCAACGGGAGTCATGACAGTATTGATGTACCTGGTAAACGGATGGTTGAAGAAAGTTTGGTTGGTCGAGGTTATAAGTACAGCTAGACATTCAAAAATAGACAGAATAGGGTTGTGGGAAGAAGAACAGAGAAAAGAAGTAGAGGTAAATTATAAGGTGACATATAGATACAGTTGAACACCACATTCGAGAGTCTAATACACCATAGTTAGAATAGATTGCATTGTTCAGAGAGCTAACTGCAGTTTCGTTTATAATGTTCTTTCGAAAGCTAAAATTGTTTACATTGTTTCGATTTCACAGAATGGTCGCTTAGCGTGATCCAAAGTCCTAACAATGGGGAATAAGTGAAGCGATCTTCTCGGTAAACTTCGAAATTGAGAGTTTGTTGTTGTAGGTACCTAGGTATTCACAGCAGATTTCTCGGTTGCTCTTATTCCAAGGATAATGGATTTTGTTTTGTGGTTTTCCGAAATGAGGGTTGCTAACATAGCATTACCTTCTAGTGATTACCAGACGTCAATGATCATTGTTTCGCACATGAAGAACTGTCAGATTCAGATGCAACAATTGAGCCTCATTCTCTGTTTTTGTATATTCTAGATATCCAATGGAGAGCCTGAAGCTCCGCTCTCTTGATCGATTGTGGCCACGCTTGTTTCTCGTTCAAATGTATCAACATAACTTAAAACCACTGATCTTGGATGTCAAGATCAAATGCTGAAAATCACAGATTCTCAAAACATGTAGGCTATCTATTTCAGAATACCAGAACAATTTGTTCTATGGATATCTTGATACAAAATGAAGGATGATAAGCTAATAAGTGGATGTTTCAAATTCATCATATACTGACAGAACCTGCTAGAATCGCTATTACAAACTTTCCATTGATATAGTTCCCAGATTTCAAGAACACAGCCTTAGCGTAAGTTCCTCATGAAGACGATGTCTGTTACGAGATAGAAATTGATAATAGTGCGAATTTGTCTATATATTTCAAATGTTCAAATATAAAAGAAAATTAATACTTGCACCACGAGCTCATTTCACATGCTTGAGCATCATAAAGCCGTAAAGAAAAGATGAGGTACGCCCAGAAAATATAGTCAAAATCAAGGCATATATGCCCATAACAAATTTTTCGAATCCTATTAACCATCGAGTCCATCAAGGTACCACAGGATCTGATTCAGTCATTACACTTTTATAGTGCAGAGTCCAAGAAACTTTAGTCTTCGTACCTGCCAAGCTCCAAGCCAGCTCTAAAAACTGTTGAGCGGTACCGGTATTTAGGACAATCAAACTAGATAATCGTTCCGGCAACGAAAACAACTAGTGTTAGGCTATCTAAAAAATTGTACCCAGGGAAATAAACAACGAGGAATTTCATACCAACACTATAGCATATGCATACTAGCATAGATAATTGCATTGAGCCCTGGGAATTCCCGCTTTCCTAATCCCTTTACTTTCAAATTTCATAGCCAAAGATTCTTATCTCCAACAATTGGAGATACAAAAATATCAAGAGATTAGACGGGATCCTATTATCAATTCTCAGCAATTTTATTCCCAGATGTTTCCTATTCCCACTTGTAGCTCTAGCTCTAGTGCCGACTCGGCTAGATATGCTGCTCATTTAAAGAACGACGGACTCCCAAGGCATAAGTCTTGGCGGCGGGGTGCATATTTGGCGGGAAGCTAGCGCGGGGTCGTTAGTAGGTTAGTTGGTTGGTTAGTTAGTTGAATTGATTTAATGACGCGTGTAAAACGGGCTGACTAGGTAGATAGGCTAATTGGTGGTTGCGGGTCTTGACGGTCGATGGATGAGGATAGACATTAGGTTAGTGGTTAGTGGAATGAGTGTTGTACATATTCTGATGTTTGAGTAAAATCTATTGCTAGTCGAAGACAAAATCACATAGAGACACAGTAGATCGGAGAAGCACGTCAGATTATTCACCAAAGACCCAAAGAATGAGGTAAGACGTTTGCGTTATTCATTATCCATTCCCTTAAACCATTCCATAATCAAATAATTTTTAATACCGAATCCTTTCAATTATTAGTATGTACCCATTGTTTCGTTTTGTTAATTGATATTTGGTGACGTGATAATCATGCCCCTATTGCCTTATCCTGTGCCCATTCATATCTGTCGTATGTGATGTGATCTCTCGACCCAAAACTGCAGTGAGGGGTGTTTTATTTTCCATTCCGATGTCCCCAGTAAGAATCCCTTATTAAATCCGTCGTAATCATAAAATGTATTATCAAGAATAGAAATTGTCTCGTCATATGATGTGCCAGAAGAACTCTACAAAATAGCAGCAAAGAGACCAATGGCAGCCGCAGCCAAAGAGCCACTGACCTGGTAAGCGTTGGCAGCGCCAGTAAAATCAGCAGGGGCGGATGTTGTGCTGGAATAAGCATCATTAGTTGGGGTGGCGGTGGGAGCCTGGATCTGGCCATCGCTGATTTGAGAGATGACTGGACCGGCAAGAGAGGTGCTCGTTTCGAGTGTGGCTGCACTGGTGGGCGCCTGGATTTGTCCATCGGGAATCTGGGAGATCACTGCCGCAGGAGCTTCAGTACTAGTGGGAGCTTCAGCACTAGTGGGAACTTCGACACTAGTGGGAACTTCAGCACTAGTGGGAACTTCGACACTAGTGGGAACTTCAGCACTAGTGGGAGCTTGGATTTGTCCATCTGGAATCTGGGAGATTACTGCCGCAGGGGCTTCAGCACTAGTGGGAGCTTGGATTTGACCATCGGGAATCTGAGAGATTACTGCTGCAGGAGCTTCAGCACTAGTGGGAGCTTGGATTTGACCATCGGGAATCTGAGAGATCACTGCTGCAGGAGCTTCAGCACTAGTGGGTGCTTGGATTTGACCATCTGGAATCTGAGAGATTACTGCCGAAGGAGCTTGGATTTGACCATCGGGGATTTGAGAGACGACGGCCGAAGGAACTTCAGCACTAGTGGGAGCCTGGACTTGACCATCGGGGATCTGAGAGATCTCCGCCGAAGGAGCGGCAGAAGCGGATGTTGCACCTTGAATTTGCCCATCTGGAATCTGACTGACAGGAGCACCTGTTGGAGATGGTGCAACAGAGGTAGCACCTTGCACCTGGCCATCGCTAATCTGAGTGATTGGCGCACCACCAGCAGATGTAGGGGCTTGAATTTGTCCGTCACTAATCTGAGAGATAGGAGAGGCGGAGGTTGCACCTTGTGGTTGCCCATCTGATATTTGAGAAACTGCTGCAGAGGATAGAGAAGCGATGGCAGTGGCAGTTGCTTGGCCATCAGTCGATTGTCCGACGACGCCAGATCCAGCAGCTGGGCTGCATGCAGATGTTTGGATCAAAATTTGGGAGCATTGTTCACCCTGCGATTCCGTGTACAAATTATTGAATGTACCTGAGAGGCATCTGTTGAAAGTCGAAAAGTCAGTATTGTCTGTTAGAGGAATATTTGGGAGAGAAATAAGGAATGAATGCTACATTTCAAGGAAGAAGAATTTGTTTGAGAAAGAGGGAAAATGGGACTTGAGATCCAGGCATAAAAGCAAGGATGAAAGAATTTTAGAACTTGTAAGATTTTTACGTACTGGTAGAAAACAGCGGAACCCCCAAGAGCGAGAGAACCATTTGAACAAACAGACCAGCCACCAGTATAAATGGCTCCAGTTTGTGGTGGGCCATCGAATTGGAACTGAGTGTTTGAAGCAATGTATCCCGTCCTATCCTGCTGGTCCTTGAGAATACCATCGTTGAGTGTGACGGCAAGAGATGATGAACAGTCGGCACGCTATTGACGGGTTAGCTAGATCACATCTAACCATAGATTGAAAGAAATAGGGATATATTCACCTTTTGCTGACGCTTTGCTACACTGCTAACATTTACAGTAGAGATCTGAAAAGCTCCAGAATAGCTAGTGGCACATCCATCAGGAGCAGATGCGGTAGGGGTGATGAGAGCTGTGACCTGAGCATATGCGACAGATGCCAAACCAGCAACAACAACGAATGTGGTCTTCATATTGAGTTTGATGTAGGAGCGAGTACGTGTGAAGAAGAACGATCAATCCGAAAACGAATGAGGATTTTACAGATGATCAATAGAGACCTAAATAAATGGGATGTAACAATGGAATTATGAATGGCAGGATTCTATTGTTTATGTAGGATTTTGAATGGCCACCAGCTACTAGTATCTAGATACTTAGATACCTAGTGAAAGCTACCGGCCAGAGATGGCGCGGGGCTAATATTTCCATGACATTATTGGGATAGGCAGGAGAATAGCACTTCCCATTACCCAATGGAATATTGACCATGTTGGTCATTGAATCACTTGATACAAAGTTTGACGATTGACAATGTAGAAGTGGTTAAATTCGACCTAAGTGTACCTAGGTATCTTCCGAATCGCTGGATCAATGAGGCACAACACATCACTAGTCTAAACATCTGGCGGTGATTGGTAGCCATTGGCGGGGTAGACAACCACTGAGCCCTCTCTCGATCTCAAGTGGTGAATGTGCATATTTTGTGGGAATGCCTGTACAAAGCTAGAGGAAGAGGAGACTTTTCTCCACATGAATACAACCAATACAGAATGACGAGGCTCGGAAAGATATGCATGATTTTCGAGTCTCGTGTGCTATAAGTTAAAAGAATGGCAGGACAAGCCTGGGCGGGACAAAAAGCAGGTTGGAAAGTATGGTAAGGCCCGTATAAGCTCGATTAACGCAAAATATACTTTCCCTATCATGGAATGATCGCCTCAACAACACGAGCATAATTGGTAGAATTACCAGTTGAATTAGTGTGTTGCGGAGTAATTGAGTTTATACGGTGGTGCTAAGAGGGGTATCATTCGCAATTAGTCTTGGTGATTCAGGGCATTTTACCCGGAGAATAATGATAGTGCTGATTGGCAAAACTACTTGCTAATAGCGAGAAAATAGAACGGATTTCGATGATTCAATGATGTTGAAAATCGAAGGAGATCCGTATCGTGGTATGAAAGGAGAGGAGGGAGAGATACGGTTGACAGTGGCTTAAGATAGAGGGGTTAGGTTACCATCGAAAAGCCACGAGGTATCGATTATTGAGATGTCACTACATCTGTGCGTTACTTGGTGAATGAAGAGACTCCATCCAGATGATCAAAGTTTATCTCTTTGCCAGTTCATTAGTGAAAGTTAAGAAAATAGGAACTGGTGGAAGAAAATTGATTGACGTCGTAAAGGACGCACGAACATGTACTCCATTGTCATATAATACAAAGTTTTTGCTTTAGCGCCTAGATACGGAGTAACGTGCCTTGAATACGCACAGTCGTAGGAGCACGGGTGGAGGCTAGTCCAGGATTAGATAAGCTACTAAATATCTACCACCTACCTCGTTGCTAACTTGCTACTTGGAATCTAATCCTGCGAGCATCAACAATAGAATGTTATCTATCTGGGTAGGTAGGCTCGTAGGTACCACGGACAGGTATCTGGATATTCTCGGCATTCTCGTATTGTAATGTGCTCATTGGAATCACAATATCGACAGATTTGACACCAAGAACCAAGAACCTATAAAACGGATTTTCAAGATCCCCGGATTTAGTTCAGCCTTTATCTCAACAAAATGCTCGGCGAACATTAGGTCGAAAAATATTTTATAGAGTTAATTATGCACGTCATCATCATCATTATCATCATATCCTACTCAAATACGCAGTACGATGGATCACAGCACTCTCCTTATCTTTCCGCTCTCGGACAATTGGTCTGTGAAGACTCGAAAGATACATCGCCAGTACCTTCACTAATTGGGTAGTTTTGTATAAAATGCATGCTGTTCCAGATACAACGAGACAGCGTCGTGATGAAGACCTTGTTTATCTCAAGTTGTAGCTGTGAGACAAATCCGATGGCCCTACAAGAACCAAAGATATATACTCGAATTACATGACACAGATGATCATGTCTAGTTGACATTGCTCGCTCAACCTTCAGTACCATACACACCTGAGCATCACACCGACGCCTCTAAATGATCGATTAACGATTGCAACACAGACAGGCTTCAGGACGCTAATGCGGGGTTTGTTGCACACGAAGCAGAGTAAGACGGGTTCAATTACATAGCAGCCCAAGTACATCATAAGAGGCACAGACATCGAAGGATCACAATGAGGGGTACATTGCATATTCGATCGAAAGTTCTGTTGCTCTTCAAATGATGTTGAGCCCGAAAGCCCAAAGAACCCGGCAAGAGTTAATACATACTCATCAATCTGATTTGAATTCATTTTCGGGTGTTATCAAAGCTAACACTTACATACAATCGCGAACCCCTCCACTCAACACCTCAACGTGGCATTCTATAGTCTATTCATCGACACACTCTGGCTTTATCAATTCTATGATATCTCCGTAATCCGGTACCCATCTGCCGACAAGTAAGAAGCTGTTTTCAGACCAGTGCAGCTTGAGGAAACATACAAGCGAGAACGATGTTATTCGAAGAATGGATCAACCTGGCAACATGCGCAAAGTTCTGCCTGCGACTGAAGGGCACAAAAATTACATATCTTCCCCTGGTTATGCTCAAATACAGCGAACGGAATTTCCTGATCACCGCAGTTTCTTTTATTTGGTCTCTATGTACAAAATTGAACGGGATATTGGGAGAATATATTTCAGCGGTCCATCCGAAGTCTATTTCAGTGACCTAATTGGTGCTTAGATGAACTTATATATTGGGGTTTCGAATGATTTGAAAGATATAAATCATAAATCGTCTGAAAGATTGAAGTTGGTACCTTAATGACTGTGCCCCGGGGTTTTCTTCAAATGGTTCAAGATAAGATTCATCTGATAGCCCTCCAAGGTATTGTTTCTCAAGTCTAAGCCAAAGGATCCGGTAAAGTGACTGGTGTATCCGTCCTCAACTTATTCGTAATCAACCCCTCAAAGGTACTACTCCAGCTAACTCTAGGAGTCAATGGATCCAATCCCCAAAGCTCGTCCAAAAACCCAATAATACTCGTATGCGTGTACTCGCCTCCCTTGTTCTTTCCCTTCTTCTCCACCACTCCCTTGCCAACCCACGGACTGATTAAAAGCGTTGGAACGCGGACACCCAAGCGTTTGAAATCAAATGTCATGTTCTTTCCATCGGGTGCCTTTTCAGTATATGTGAGATCATCTCCAGCCGGTACGTTTGTGGGGGGAGGAACATGATCACCAAAACCGCCGTGCTCGTCAAATGTGAGGATAAAGAGGGTTTCGTTCCATTGTGGGGACGATCTGATTGCTTCATAAATTCCTTTGATGAAGTTTTCGCCGGAGCTGATGGGTGATGGGGGGTGGTATGACTGATAAGAGCAGCACTCTGGGTTGATATATGTGAATTGGGGCAGTGTGCCTGCAGCCGCATCCTCGTAGAATTTTGTCAATGGGGCAATATTAGTCTTATATGCTCCAGAGCTAAGGGTCCAGTTGTAGAATGCAGCATCTGGGTTGAAACCGAGACCAGGTCCGAGGGTGGAGTTCTGGTAGTTCATCCAGGTGATGTCGTTCTCGGAAAGTTGTTCGAAGATGGATTTTACGGGAATACCGTAAACGTTGAAAGCGTTGTCATTTTTGCCGTGTCCATGCGATGTTCCACTCGTGATGTAGGCACGATTGGGATTGGTAGGGCCCGGGACAGCAGCGAACCAGCGGTCGAAAAGAACGAAGTTTTCGGCCATTGTGTTGAAGACCTTGACTTGATCAGGGGTGTAGTAGTTGATGGCTTCAGCAGCACGGGTCTTGTTCAAGGTGCTGTAGGTGATGGATTGTTCTGTCACAAAGCCACGCATGCTTTCGGATTGTGATCCAGATGGATGATATGTTGTGAAGACTTGTGTAAGTTAGCGAGCGGTACAAGATGTCTGATAGTCCGGACTATTGGAAACGCTGGAGTAGCAATAGAAACAAGGAGAACCATACGTTGCATATTAACACCACTTATACTGTGGTTTGGATCGTCTGCTGCAACATCGTTGGCACGAGGTCCAGCACACACATCGGCCTTTTGCCCAGGGTTTGACGCATTCCTTTCTGTCTGTCAATTGAAGTCCAACTAGGATTGTAAGCTTTTGAGAAAGCTTACATTGAATTGCAATAATTATGGTGTAATAATCCATCAATAGCTGAGTTGTAACTAAGGCCACCTGCGAAAGTATCAAATGACCTGTTTTCTTCGACGAGAACGACAACATTCTTGATTCGACTTTTCCACGAATTGTCAGTCGTCTCGTGATACTGAATATTCTGGGGAGCGGCCAGGGCAACGCCAGATAAGGCTGCAATCATTATCACCTCGAAACCGAACATCATGATACCAATAAAGATATTGCTTTCCCTTTAGATCAAGTCGTAGAATCGAAGATTCTTGCTGCTTCATATACACTCCCGGCCACCGCCGGCCGTTGGACTGCATTTGACAGCAGAGCACTAAGCACATGCACGTGTAGCCGTTGATAGGACAATGCTACATCATCAATATTGAAGTTGTACAGGAGACTGCAGATGGATATAGCCTCGACCCTGAACTTGCAGATATTTCAGAAAGTAGAACTCTCTACCTTCCTAATTCTTCGATCATCTTGCACATGGTGCAAGTCATTGGTCAAAATATATGCGTACGCGAGGACCCTTGCGTTACTATTTCTTAATAATAGTTTGCACAGAGAAAGTGTACTCCCTTCGACCTCAATCAACACTGGCTCGACTGGGTAAGATTTCGATATCTGGAGATTGAGGGTGGGGTAAGTCGTGTTGATCTGCGGATATATGTATCGGCTTTTATCCTTCGCAGCCAGTCGAATTCCGGTAACAAGCACGTGTGGATTTGAAAGACGAGTAGAAAATGGTGAATTAATAAACACGGGAACCGGCTTTCTCTATACGGCTCAAACCAAAGTTGTGAATAACGAGCTTACATAATTTACAATAATCGTCTCTCAGGATAAAGCTTGAAGTTTTGGAACCG